ATATATAACTAAACGAACTTTATGGTTGTACGGCAGTGAAGCATCAGTGGCAACACTGATGTTGCTGTCATTGACGATGATGATGATGATGATATCTGTCAGCGGAAGCCCCGGGAGAAATTCGACTCCACAAGCGTTAGAGGCTGATAGTTAGTCTTCCATAATCGTATCAGTGATGAAGTTCACGAGGAAAGGTGAAAGGGGATAACCCTCCCTGACACCACTCGATGTGGTGAACTCAGGCGAGAGCTTCCCGTAGACCTTCATACGGCCGTGGGAGTTCAGTCAGTCTTCAAAGGATAAAACGAGAGAGCACCTTCGATGCCACAAATAACAGGCTGATTCCACGGTGGTTTTCATCTGGCGTTCACATACTCTTTGAATGCCCCTTTTGAACAATTGTTGACATGCCCCATTCTTCAGGCACTTTCTCTTCGTTCCAAAAAGCACCAGTAAGCTTTGTCAGATGACTCGTCGGGGATCCTCCGCCTGCTTTTAAAGAGGACTGGATACAGACCACCAGGTACTGGTGCCTTCCCGCTTCTCAATGCAGGCATTTCCTACTTTATTTCTTCCGACCGACGATTAAGTTTACATTCTATTCGCCAGGCTGGGTTGCAGGGGGTCAGCTCAACTGTTCTTCGAAATATTCGGCCCGTCTTCCAATCAACGTGTTTGCGAGTGAATTAATGAGCCATCTTTCTCAATTATCGCTTCACTGACCGTTGCTTTCCTTGGGGCAGTCGATCGTATCAGCTGATATATGGCGCACCTGTTTCAGGTAGCATAATCCTTATCCATCTACCCAGCTTTTGATGCCAACAGGGCTTCTGTTTCCTCCTTAGGCTCTTCATTGATTTGGCGTTTGAGGGATTTGCGTGCGCATTTGTACTCATTGCCTGCTGGTAGGGATTTCCTAACATCGGTCGACAATATCCAGTGGTCACTTGACTGTATCGGAGAAGTCAGACAGGCAGCACTGAACGCCGCTAGCGTACCTTTCACATTTATCCGTGCTTCATACACCTGCTCTCTACCAATGCCGTATTGGTTTTCTGTAGAGAATTGTTGAGCTAACTCAGTTCGGTACTGTTGGACCACAGTCGTTCTTGGAAGGTCGAGGATTGGTATGCTTCTTGCTGCATTGCGAGTAACTGAGAGGAGACTAACGTACACGCACCATTGCGTGATCGGAATCAAGTTGCGTGAAGGAACAACAGCCTTCAGTTGTGGCTTTTCACCGGTAGCTGATGGCCACATGATCCAACTAGGTCCGCGGTTGACTTGCAGTTTGTGGCCACTTGGTTATGCGATACGAACGTTGATACGAAGAGTTCGTGCGGGTCAGAAACAACTCACGGTCAGCGCACAATCAGAGGAGTCGCTCTCTCTTTCCTGTGCGACCTGCGTCGATTCTAATCGACCACCCAAATTTGATTCCAAGAAACTCAGACGACCATTTTGTGCATTCATATCGCCTGCAAGTATCATAATTCCAGTGCTTCTCGCTTGACGAATGAGTCTCGATAGAAAGTGTCCTTAGCGTCATAACTACAGTCCGTTGGGGCATAAACTGACACTTCAAACAGGTATCGCTTTTTATGCCGGGAGGCGTTGAGCTTGATTGAGCTGGATAACCGGACGATGCAGCAAAATGCGTTCAGCTGTGGGGCTGAGTGCAACTCCCATACCATATATCCCGCAATTCTGGATCAATGAACACATGGAGGGGAAAATGTGAAGGAGCTGAGTCTGTCCTTGGTGCTCTGAGATTCATACTCACGTTTGGGTCTTGTATGCGTGTTTCGGGGACAGCACACATCAAGTTTAAGGGAGTACAAGGTTTCAGCAAGCATTGCCTGTTTGCCACTTTGACATAGACTACGGACGTTAAAAGATCCTATATAGAAAGGATCTGGTAGATTTAGCAACGTATTATTTTGTTTATTGTTAATAGGCAGCGGGCTGCATAAGGCCCTTCGAGCATATAATTGACAGTCAAATAACCCAACGACGTTTGCGCGTGTGAATGAGAAGAGGTTGGGGACTCTCTGTTCTTCGTCTGCTTGCTCCCATTGGTCTTCCTGGCGTGGTTTAACCTTGGGGAATTGAGTTCCAGCCAGTATAGCCCAGAGAATCGTTGCAGCACAGCAGTCCGACCACCACAACATGGTGGCAGCTTTAGGTCGGGTTCTGCGTTTGGATTCTACGTCTGACGAACCTGAGTGGGAGCAGTAAACCTCATGTGACTGAGCTTTCCCAAGTCTTGTCATACAATAATTCGTCTTTATTTTGCGCATTACGTGACAGTTATCAACGATCGATGGCTAATTGGGATAACTGTCTGATAAAATCACCTGATTCAACTCCTAGTTAAGTCGAAAATCAGACTTCACATCCTTCGATCATCGTCCATTCCATGTGATCCTGTATATTTACTCTCTTGTCTATACAGGGTGGAAAAACGAAAACGAAAGGCGTAGCCAACAAAAATGCAATATCCAAACCGCAAATTGTGATTCAACAGACTGGTGTCGGTGGTAACTATGTTCCCGGGCAAACTGTTCCCGTGTTAAACACCGGTTCTGGGCTTAAGCCGGTGACTAGCCCATTAGTCAACAACTACGTAGGCAAACCAGTTCCTCAGATAGCCCAACAACCTCAACAACAGAGTATGGAACACACATTACCTCCTCCTCCCCCACCGCCGACACTGTCCCAATCACCGGTCAGCCCCAACTACAGTTCTTGTCAGACATCTGTAATCAGTAATGGGATTTCATCAGATAAACTAGTCAACAACGCTGGATATCCTCAGACGATTGCTGCGCATTCGGTCCATCAAGTCAACGGGCATTCGAGCGTCCCCAACTGTCCGCCTTCACAGATCTCATATCACCCGGTTCACGCGACAAATCCTCCGCAACACCCTCCGCCTCCTCCACTTCCTTCAGATGTGGCTTTCAATAACCTGGACGGTCATGCAATAGGTAAGCCAGTTTCGTTGTGTCTAATGCACATAGCTCAAGCTGCGTCTATCGCACTTGAGAATGCAGCCCACTGGGTTTTAATTGCGTATGTTTGGTACGCTGATTACTTCTTATTTCTCTCGCTTCTTACAAGTCGCATATCTGCTGTGTGCCACAGCGAGACTGGCGATTGTTGGGATTGATTAGTCATTTTAATTAGACCGTCACGCTTTCAGAAAATTTGATAATATTAGAATAATAATAGCATGAAATTTGGAAGTTTTCAATTGACCTTTCGCACTGCAAGTTGAGTCAATCTATGCTGAAGGCCGGTTAGCACTCTACAGTTGTTTTATTCCTATTGGGAACCATCAGCAGTGCACATCTCACAAAGCTCCATTGAGTTTCCGACGCGCCCCGCCCACCTTGTAGTTTGCCGATAAACGTAATCTCTTCGGTAAGCGATCGCGCAGTAATAACGTGCGCAACCAGTTCAAGTAAGTTGACTGGTGAAAACTTTTGGGGACTACGCCTATCTGATAAGCACCAAGAGGAGCAGTGGGCTGTCGAAGAGTTTTCAACAGTTTCACGAGCAGTGTCATTCCGAGAACATATGCTGCGATATCTCGAATTTCATACTGACTGAAACATGAGGTGATTTTGTGCAATATTCATTAGATTATATCATAGCAAATGTTTCTTCGAGTCCCTCGTTAACACCAAGTGAGTATACCTTGTAAATTCGAGCTCCGTGAGAATAGCTATCCCCGGGATTACTGGCACTTTGTGCTAGGTAATACTGCAATTGGATCCCTTCCATAGGCCCTGTTAATTAAACATCAGGCACTCTTATAGCCCACCCAGTGTTTTGATTACCTTTTGTAATGAATACATGTTGGATCATTTGTCACTTGTTTGTTTACATCCGACTCTAGGTTGTTATGATATCGGGGCGAGATAGCCCAAGTACTTAAAGCGCGAATTTACTGACCGGAAGGTCCGTGGTCCGAACCCTGACCTCTGCCTCTCGACTTCCCCTGTCTAGGCCTGGGCAACCTGGCAGTATCCTGGCCCTCGTGCTTCCTTCTTGTGGGATGGCAGTTAGGCACCGAAAGTGTGCTACAGCTATTGTATCGATTGTACTCTTGTGGTCCTTTACCCCAAGGATCAATCATTGTTAATATTGGTGTATTCGCTGAGCTATAATGATGCGAATTGCGCTCTTCCTGCGCTCGAGATTTCCGACTGAATGAAATGCATGCCAAATCGGACGGTTCCTATTTTCCATCTCGTTTTACCGATTCTTGCGTCAGTCATTGACGTTAAGTATTTAGCTTGGTTGTTCCTTACTTGCATTCGATTGCATCTAATAAGGGTGGAGTTTGTAGTTAAGACGAGTACGTGACGTCTATTTTGCATTGACGTGCACAGTTTTGCAGGAGTATTCAAAAGGATGCCACCGAAAAGGGGCCGTATTTTGGGGAAAAAAACTTGTCCGCCCAACTAAAGTACGAAACATGGCTGGTTAGTCAATATGGCTGATGGTTAGTTAGCTATTTCCTATTCTAACCTTTTAATTCTCATTGAATCATTCTTATGGTGTCCTTTGGATAAATGTGACGTTCATTGATGTATTTAGGGTTTGAAATTGAGCATGCTGCCTGAGGTGAATATAACGGGCATAGAAATGGCAGATTGTTTTTAATTTATACATTCTGTGATATAGTGCATTTACTGTATATGAAACAAGACAAGCAGTGATGTTTGTTCAGTTAAGCGGAAACAGACCCCACTCGTCTGCTACTGAATCCTGACCGGTTGATGACAATTACCCGTACGTCGGTGTAGTTTCGCTTGTATCGGTCAAACCGGACGGACAGAAGTTAACTGCATAACCAGATGTAGATGTATACATGAAAATTTTCACAATTTCCTCGAAAGACCCAAAATCGATGCTCTTTCCACAGAAGTCTAGGGTGTGATTTTCTCCGTCGGCTCCGACTTTCCGAGATGTTCTGCGCTGGGCGGAAGGCCCAGAACTCTGTTGGTAAATTGTTAGGGTTTGTGGTTTTCCAGCATTGCAGGTACGAGGTCCTTTTTCGAAGCGTCCGATCTTACGAGGTCCTTTTTCGAAGCGTCATGTCCGAGTCCACTCTTGACATCTTAGTTGCACCTGTCTGGACTGTGCCAACTAGATTTGATTATCGCTTGGGTTTTCTACGGACTACACCCCATCTGTGTGTTTATCTCAACTAGATGCTCTGAGTGCTTAAATCTCATCGCCAAATAGTTTCACCATGGTAGACTCGTCTTGACCGTTTCGTGGACAATAGCCGTCCGAAGGGTTGTGTTTCGGATGAAATTGGCTATTCATGAATCTTATCTCTACCTTTTTCACTATTTCCGACTTTTCACCAGACAGCGCTCGCTTGCACGTTAGATATATCGCTAACTTGTTTTCTGTTTACTTCCAAAATCGTGTGGTGTTGTTGTAGCATGGTGTAATTGGTTGTGAGTTATGCACAACGAGCCAAATGATTCTCCGTTGGTGGTCGACGCTGAGCGACGTTAGGTGTTTCGAAAGCGAAAATCCGTAGGCTTGTTTCTAGCATGCCACTCCTGACTACATCACATATGCCCGGGAAATATTTATATTTGCATCCATAATGCAGCACATTCAGTTTCAGTGTGATGGTATTCTGGTTGTTTCTGATGAAGTGTAGCAAAAACGGAATCAAAATCGACACCATTACGGTGATCCGTCTTGCTTAGCTTTCCTTTTTCTTCTCTCGGAAACAGGATTTTGGTCAGACGTAGCAGCTCGATAGACTCAGTAAACGTGCGCTGCCACAGTCAGCGTGCAATTCTATTTTGCCTCGCTTCTGGTTTCCGAGACGCCATAGTATGCTCTCAGTAAGGCCCACTAGAAACCGGGTTAAAATACCTGTTTCTTCTCTTGTTGCATTATGGGACTTTCCCAGATGGATATCTGAGGCTTGTTGCTAGAGCAGCTCGCCCGCAGTTCAGCAGACTGACTTGTGAGGCTTCCATCCGCCGAGAATTATCGCATACGAACGTCATTCCTGCCAATTCCGGATATCCGGGAAGCGTACAGTTTAGTTGTACCATTCGCTGATAACACCCAGCAAAACGACCCCGATCGTCACCCCAATCCGACTAAAAGAGCTGATCTCATGTTTACTCGGAAGCAGCCGGTAACTCATTGGTGCGCGCCTTATCTCAAGCCTCCCACCTCTGTTGATTAAAAGAGTTTACTGTTCCTCCGGACAAGTTATACGGAATTTCGGACTTTTTGCTGCGCAAAATTTGTTCGAGCTCCATGTTGTCTCATTTTCGGCTAGCCTCCTCCGACTAAATAATCTCCCTTCGTCGACAATCTGGAGATGTTTCCAGAGACACAGCTCGTTCCTGAACGACAGGCCTTCTCTGAAGGAACCGTCGTCCTATTCCAAGACACTGGCCGAACTAGTGTGCTATACAATATGCAGTGCGTAGCCCTTGTGTTTTTCAGCTTTAGTATTCCCTGAGTTTGGAGCGAAGCGTATGGAATTCATGTCATTCATGCACACACGTGTGACTTGTGCAGGAATTCGGGGTTTCTTTCCGCACCTGTTCACACACGGTGGCTGTATTGGTCTCGATTTTCAGCTAAAATTCAACTGTCAGTTGCTGATAAGGTTTGTGGCTCCAAAAGTGTTGATTTCAGCCTCAACCGTGTCATCTGCTTCACACAAAACGGGAGGAGCGGTCACTGGTGGAAGATTACTGAGCAAAGTTAATTATCCATAAACCTCTTGTAGAAAAAACAGAAACTTGGAGAAACACAAGGTCGCTCTTGCACCCATTTTTTTCTTCTTAGAATGGCTTTTCAGGGGTACTGTTGAAGAGGACTACCTTGTCTGAGTTATGCTCAAGTATTGTCTGTCTCATCTCGACACTTTCATTCCAGCTTACCACTACTCAGCCTTCTACGATCTCTAGGAAACCTTAAAGGTTATTGCAAATCGTGTCGCTTTGTGGGTTGGATAACTCTGGTTTTGCTAATTAACTAAAACAGTTTCCGTGCATTCCCTGCTGCACTAGACTTCTTCAAGTCCTGAACCTTCTAGTAACACCACGCCTGTCTACTTAGACACATATTTCGCCTGACGGTGACAGAATTTCAGCTGGATCATGTTTCGAGCCCGAATGGATACAATGTCTTGCACCTACGGGTTAAAATGGTCATTGTGAGGTCTACTGATAACAGTACATGCTACGTTTTTAACATCACATCTAGTGGCATTTATATCTTTCTACTCATCAATACTATATTCTAGGGAGAATGATTACAAAAATTCAGTCAATTTTGGTTGTTTGATAAACTAATCCTGAGGAACAAACCACGAGGTCGCGTGAGCAATCAGTTTAGCCTATACTAACGTCAATGCGGGCAATTTTGGCCACTTTGTTTTTGCCCAGCATATGTGGGGCTAGTTACTTATCCTTATTTCAGTAATACACCAGTAGCGTCCATCCAGAAATCGGGATTTTTAACCTATACGCACACTTGATACATTCTAGGGGGAAGTGATTCTGTAATGAAAATCGTTTTCCTACTGCACGCTCGACCTTTGCAGCTCTCTCACACCACGTGATATAGCAACATTTGACATACTATTACCGGGGCATGCAAGGATTTAGTCGATTCCCCGTTACATTGACCGCTACTGGTTCTGTTTTGTCTTATCGATTGCTCGGACAGGTTGGCCTGGTTTGTGACCATCTAATCTATGGTTACAAATTGTCAGCGCCCAAGCTTAGAATCTCGCCCGAAATGGTGTCTGCGCATTCCCACTTGTCATCATCGTGGACAGCACAGCATCAATGTTCAACACTGATGCTTCGCTGTCATGCAACCATGGTTTGTCTGAAAGCCTTAATGTGAACAAAAGACTAAAGGCGGACAGGGAGAGGGTTTAGCGCCGCCTTACACAACCATTCCGAGGTGCTTACACCTCCAGTCACACTCATTTAGGCAATCTGGATAGAAACTGACAACAAGAACGCCACTGACATGGCGCCATATCTTACAACGTCTCCAACCAGGCCCAGTGGAGACCATCTGGTCCCCATTCTGGAAGGCAAGTAGCACCGACAGCACCCAAGCCTTTCGTAATATCCTTCATACCCCTTTGCCAAGTCAAGGGTCGGCCACCTCTCTGCTTCCACCACTCTAATTTAGGCACGGAAAACAGCACTCTCTTCAAAAACGATGGTTTGGCATCCGCATATTCCAGTGCTGGACACATTCTTCAATGGAAGTTCCCGTTGCACAATCGGAAACTCGCTTTCCAAGTGCCTCGTTACGGATTCGCTGACACCAACCCACATGAGTTATAGTCCTGAGACATCTATTGTCGAACGCCTGAAGACGTCTCAGTCCCGTTGCTTGAACAGGCAAAATCTCACAGACGTACAACAAAACATCCCGTATTGTAGCTTGATGCAGACGTCCCTTGAGGGTCCGGGATATAGCGCCTTTCCACCATAAGTGTCTCAAATTAGCAGAAGGCGACCTGAGCCATGCAGATTCGTGAATTGCCCCCATCTGTCACACTAAAATCGGAATTAACATAACTTTCAGGATACGCAAAACGCTCCTTCTTGTGTTAGGTACAGACTTTGGTGCTAGGGACGTCAAAAATTTCTTCAGCATGGTACTTATTGCGAAGCATCACAGCAGCAACACTGTACTTTTGTTAAGAGGTATTTTGTCAACTTATAATGAGTTTGTTTATCTGGTTCATCATTGTCTTCCAATGCATGAAGCAATTCACGTGCATTAGAGCCTGTGTGATGTTCGCATTGTGCTGTCATCCAGGTGATTGGGAATGATTTACTTTTGCGATACCTAGCCAAACTTGGATGAGAAGCATGAGCAAATGTCTGTTCCAGCAGAAAACCAATCATAATCCGATAACTGTCAACCTGTTCTATTTCTGTATTTCTCGCGCATCTCCCACAGTTTGCACCAGAAGTGGGTATCGAAACCAAATCAGTGTCTTATACGTAGGATTCCTGTCCCGTGCTTCTCGAAGTAAAGCTGTCTAGTTTGTCAAATCTCCACAGTTGAAAGGTTGGGAGCTGCTTTCAAATCTTGGATGTGTTAGCCATGAACTAGACGCCTACTTTTTTGCGCTATCCTGAATAGAGATGCACAGTAAATACTAACTTTTCAATCAGGTCTGATACTGTTGGGAAATGGTTTTATACGTGCTATCAAGAACAGTCATACGTCTTGACAATCGACGAGCATGTTTGAGTTTATAGCAGAAACCACTGTGCTTTTTACTCTTGGTTGGGAAAGTGACCGTTTGATATCTTGTGAAGGGTTTCCCGTCTGGCTCTGAGTGACGTTTCTCCTCCTAGAATGGTTTTTACTTAGGAAATATTCTTGTTTTCAAAATCTTCCCTTGAGAGCGAGGTCATTGTGAGTTCAGTCTAGTCTCTCTAACCCGACAACATGCGGAGTGAGTTACCAGAGGGCAGTTAGTTTGCCTTGGGATTCTATATTATTACAGCACATGGTCTTTCGTGACTAGTTCTTTCATACTCTGATGACATCCCTGTGTCTTAACTGTTACAAATGAAGTACATCCTGTCATGTAGGCTCACAGACAACCAACGGTTGTAAGTGAAACCACCCGAACCGTCGGGATGCGGCCTTGTTTCCTCGATGATCACTTCAAGCTATTTGTAGTCTGTGGCAGTCTGATCTATCTCAGGAATGTTGGCTAACTACATTATCTGGGTCACTATGTCCATAAAGACAGCCCTGATAATTCAGACTTCCATTGGTACAATATATCTACCCATTCGCCGTGCACGCGGACCAAGAAGTTTTAAATCTCGTTTCAATCTCGTTAGTTGTGATCTCGATGAAACTCAGATTTTGGGGTGAACTAATGATCTGTGGTTCGAATAATCGTGGTCCTGGCTTGGACAGCTTTTCACTATCCCAGCTTGTTTTCTACTTCACGTATCGCTGCAAGCACAAACCTAAAGTGACATAGTTGAACGGATTGGTTTTCTCCCACTACCTCTTGTGTTTGCGGTTAAATGGAACCTCAGGCACTGTGATACATTTCCCGAGATCGGACTGAGCATCATCGATCGGAAGCTTAGCTACCAGTACTCATATACTTTAACACATGCACTCCTATTTGTTCACTTGATGCTTTTCTCGACAGCGCAAACCAAAGGGTATCCATCTCCGCCAAAGGATTTGAATGTTCCCAACTCATTGGAGGAAGTCCGTTTCCCTTTACCGGCTCCGTCATTCTTCTCCGCGGAACAACAACATGTTGGTGCTAGTAGTCCAGGAAATGTAAGTCGCATTCAGATTATTGCTTTCATCTTCATCGTGAATTCTTTCGTCACTTCAAAGAACTCATTCTGCTTACTGATCAAGTGGCTGTTAATCTGTTTGTTGAGGTTGCCAATCGAATTGCAAACGTTTCGTCACCATACGAGGAAACATCATAAGTGCGCAGTTGGGTGGGTTTCCTGTGATAACGTGATACTTTCGCTTTACCGTTTTGTAAAACTTGGACAGAGCAGTATAAGCTGCCGTCGGAAACCATACTTCCTGTGTGGATTTTTACGTATCTCATACAGCTTGCCACTACTCCAATTCTGTGCTTCCGAGTTTCCTTGCCTGCGGTATCATAACACGCATGTGCCCGAGCAATAGCGGTTACTTAGCTTACCACACCACAGTGGTTTGCCGTTGTCGACTTTCAACAAGTGTCGCCTTGCAGTCACATCGATTTTGATTGTCCCTGACCGACTGCTTGCAGCGCTTGAATGCACACGCCCAAACACGAGCCAAAGTTTTGCAACCGGATGCGCATTTTATGACACATCCTCGTCACCTGAGATTTGTCTGTGTGTTCGTATGTGCACTGGTCTTTCGAAACATTGGGGCTGTTCGTCGAACGGTCACGGCGGATATTCGTGCAACCGAACTGATCAGCTGTGTGTTTCATTTTTCCAGTACGTCTGTGTTCAGTAAATGTCCCCGTGATCGACCGTAATTGATATTGTTTGTTTCCCTCCATCCCGTCCGTCACCTTTATCAGCAATGTCGGTATGGATCGGTCGACCAAACACTAGGACTAAGAAACATTAGTTAATATTCTTCCGATACTTAACTATGGGGTACTTGTTTCACGGACTGACGGCATCCACGTTGTATTTGTCTTTTATCCTCGCCTCCTACTAACGCTTGATTGGTCTTTTGGGCTAACTTCATTAGAAAGTTGAGATTTGTGTAGTGCAAAACAACAAAAGTCGAACGAGCAATATCTTGCTCAGCAAACAGATGGCTTACCTCCGGGGACGGTCACTGAAAGTTTCTTCTACAATTTTGATATTCACACGTGGTTCGCTGGGTGTTTTTACTCCATCTGTCTGGCCTACAGCATACTTGTTGTCGACTGGCGCCGTGCCTTAAATTGGGTATGTACTGTGTAATAAATCCACATGCAACGCTTCCATTCTTTCTTCCGTTCTTAGCCTATTATTGCCATAGCCCTTTTTCTAATTGCCTTACATACTGTTTTGTGACTTTACATGTCTGATATGGAGCCGGATTCTAAGAAGACGGAAAACTTAGTCCCAGTGTCTGGTTTGTGAAGTCGGTGGCTGATTTTCGACACAGGCAGGTTATCTTTCCCAAGACCGTATGGAGTTTAGTGCACACGGTAGTCGAGCTTTCGTATAACAGGCGACAATCAGTCAAGTCATACGGTGCTACGATTGACTAACGACGGAATTCAGACGTAGGTGAAAATCAAACTGATCGAAATTGTATACGATTGTGCTAACGTGTGTTTGCTCGAATGTATGAATGAACGTGAATGCGTGTATGTAGATCCACAAAACACCGTGTACAGAACAAGGGTTTTGTCACAAACGAACCAACGACAGAAAAAGCGATTGGAAAATCCACAAATGGGCCTGCATATGATGTGGGTTTCAGAGTCACGTTGTTGTAAGTAGCGTAAAATCTGCACACTAGTGTGTACTCGATTGCTATCCGTGGTTTTGGTTTTTTCCTGTTTATTCCCACGTCTGGCATCTACTGATCCCACTGTATCAGTTATATCCTCGGTTTGGGGAACTCTGGAACCGTTGTATGGTAGCCGAGATCTTTTATGCGCAGTTCGGTTTTGGTTGAAGATCGAAGCCCCTAGACTCACCTGTCAGTCCAAATTAGGAGGTTTTCCACACTTTCTGTATCCGTGAAAAACTTGTGGAACACTACCATCCTCCAACTTGACATTTTAGACCAAGAATGACTGACAGTCAAGTGGCCCAGCGACGTTTGCTTGTGCGGTGGGAAGGGGTTGGGGAGGGACATCGATGGACTCCGAACTGCGCAGGCAGATGATACTTCCCGGTTGCCCAGGC